AATCTCTAAAAGGCACCTCTGCCATGGATTTTTTTGTTACATTTTTCAAGACTGGAGCTGGCTTTGTAGACCAGGCTGGTCTCGAACTCACAGAGCTCCACCGGCCTCTGCCTCCCTGGTGTTGAGCTTAAAGGCGTGCACCACCACAGCTGGTGGTTTCATGATCTTTTTAACCTGCCATAATAGCTTTCATTACCGACCCACCTGAAGAGGAGCCCGCTGAATCGGTATCATCTTTATGGTTCTTACTTGGTGCTTTAGGCTTTTGTATCTCATTTTCTGATTCACTGGAGTCATTCTTGGATGGAGTTTTCTTGGTCTTGGGCATATTGATGGTATCTGGAATGGAAAGGAAAGGAGGGAAATTTATGTAACATGGGTCTGCCTCAGTGACAAGGTGAGCTCTTCAACTGCTGTCCGAGGCTTCATGACTAAACTGTCTTGGGGAAAAGTGCTTCTAGGACCTTCAAGAGAAAGAACCTTAAGAACGAACAACTTGCGACTAGTAGAAGTTCCTTTAAGAAACTTAAAGACTAGCGTTAGTGTTAAACAAGCAAAAGTGAAATGGACTCACTAGAAGGAAGGGTGAAACACCTTACCAACCAAACTGGGAAAAGATTCTTCCTCTTGAACTATCATTTCAGGTACACCTAGAAATTTGGTATCCTAAGCTTGGACAACAGGGAACATTCGCACACAAATCTTACCTGGTTCCTTGATGTTTTCTGGTCCCTAGTGTTTGACTGCCTTCCCCAAGATGGCTGCTTTTATTCCTGAAACTCCTTCAGGCTCAACAATCCAGCGCATCCCTGGACTATACCATAGAGCAACCAGGAAGAGGGGATACCAGCAGGAAAGGCTTTGACAGAATCATTGAAACGTGGCACACACCCCCTCCACATGATGCTGATGTAGAGATCCAAACTGAGTCACAAAGGATGGTGGACTTCCTGGGCAGTAAACTGGGGGTCACTAAACTGTGATGTGCACGCCTTTAATCCCAGCATTTAGAAAGCAGAGACAGGCAGATCTCTCTGAGTTCGAGGCCAGCACATTTATAGAACAAGTGCCATGACAGTTAGGGCTGTCACACAGAGAAACCCTGTCTCAAAAAAAAAGACAAAACAAAATAAAAATAAGTTGGGGGTTATTTTACACCAAGGGTACCTCAAAATGCAAAACAGACAGTCAGGCAAATATGGTCAGATTACTATACAATAGAGGCAGGAGGCTAAATTTTCCTGTTTAGGGCCTTCAAGCAGCTATCCTTTCCAGATTAGAATTAATCTCTAAATTTCAGTTTTGTCTAAAATCAAGAAACCACCCAAAGCTTTTAGTCTCACATCCCCAGATAAAACTTATAGCTTACAAATTATTTATGAAGGAAACGAACACATTCTTGTTTAATTTCATGCTGTTCAAAAGTCACTTTCTCTTATATTTATCTTAACAGTGAAATAGCACAAATTTCTGCAAAAGTGTTTTTTTTTTCTTCCTTTTGAGTAAATGTGTCTACAAAGAAAACAGAGAGAGAGGTGCCCCAGACCTTACAAGGCCAGCAGGCCTTAGCATGGCTGACTCCCATGAGGAAAGTACCATTCAGGCTATAAAATTCAGCACATAGACAGCACCACCTGCCAAAATGAAAACAAAGACTTACTCCATCCAAGCCCACAGTTCTGGGAAAGTCTTGACATGAACTAAGCTTGGCTTTTGGTCACTGCAGTTCTCCTTTTAGCTAATTGTTCTTATTAACTGGAGTACACCAAACCAGGATATAGACATATACTTAAAAGACAACATTGGCAGACTCAAGGCTACACTGGGATCTCAAACACCCAGTGTTGTCACTGGCCAGCTAATAATTTCTATTGACTTTGACCCCGTCTGTGCAGCCTTCTCTTGTGGATACCCTACAACAGAGGCATAAACTGTTAAACTCACGGTTTACAAACATAGAAATTAAAAATTCCTAGTTTTTTTTAAGTTATAGAAGTTGTGTAGTAAAAGAACTAGAACACGGGACAGAGAAGGGGCCTAGGCTTTTGTGTTCTTCCAGCTGAATTAAGAGTCCATTCTTTATTACGATTCAATTTGAATATTAGCTTACCAACCTAAGCATAAGCTGAACAAGGCCAACAACAGTCATAGTGAGGTGAACTAGGGAGGAAAGCTCAGGGAGCTCCAATCCCACAGGAAGAACTCGTGGCAACTAAGGAAGGCTGAGAGAGGGACAAATAGTCTTCACCAGGAAAGGACATCCCAGTAGTTTATCCAGTATCAAATGTCCTTGACTATATAGTCATAGAAGCAGTATTATACTGACAGCATTGTATATTTATGTATTTATAATATATGTGTATATATATGACAATAATTAATGAAAACTAGAAATCATGAATTTGAAAGAGAGCAAGGAGAGATATATGGGAGGGTTTAGAGGGATAAAGGAAGGAGATATATATATATATATATACATTATAACCTGAAAAATAAAAAAAAATTAAGAAGACTAGATGCTCTCTTAATATGATGTTTTCTAAATCCATCCATTTGCCTGAAAATTTCAAGATGTCATTTTTTTCTACTGTGTAGTACTGCATTGTGTAAATGTACCACATTTTCCTTATCCATTCTTTGGTTGAGGGGCATTTAGGTTAAAAAAACAATCTCTTGTTTGCATTCAAACAAGAAAAGGGAAATGGGAGACAAAATATGCAGAGGACAAAAAATCTTTGCATGTTCATCTTTTACCACGCGTTAGGATACAAAAGGCTTTTGTAACTCTGAAAAACTAAGGAGGGGTAGCAAATGATTAGTTTTCCTTTTGCCCAATGGACTTCGATATTGGGAGAGGAGAGAGGAAAAAGGAGAAAGAACTTGTCCTGTTCACCGTGCTTCCTATTTAGCTGTATGGTATCCTCCATATTCATACCAAGCCACACACATCTAGAAGGCATGCTCTGACTCACCACTGGAGAAAGAAGACTACCTTAGCATCATCCTTGTTGATGGTCTGACCTGGCATACCATTAATCTCTTGGGTCTCTACTTGGGTGCCAATGTTACATGACTTTTCTGGGGATACATAAAATTAAAACATACTCCCAAATGGGAATTATACCTATAGCCCAAAGAATGACCCGTTCAAGTTCCCTTTGATGAGTAAAATTCATTGGTTAGGAGGCTTTTTTTATGTGGAAGGCTATGGACAATTATTGTAATCCTCCCATCAATGCCTCCCCTGAATTAATAGAAACCTGAGTTTAAAGCAGCAGCGTTGACTAACAGGGTCAGTTAACAGAAAGCACAGACCAAGCCAGACTCTAGAAAGTTGTATTCTGTTGTATGTCCAACTGTAGAAAAAATGACTTGTTTTGTTGTGGCCTGCTGGTTGGGAAAGTTAAATGGTTTGCTGTCCAAGGCAGTTACTCTCTGGGTAGGATTTGGAGAATTAGTCTCCCTATACCAAGTTTTCTCTATGCCCCCACTACTCTTAGATTCTGGTAACCACCATCTAAGTTAGATTTAACATGTGACTTCTTACCTTCTGTAAGATATCTTTAAACCTCTTATGTAACATCTTATGTTAAGACCAGCATCATTATTGGGTAGTGGTGGCACACAACTTTAATCTCAGCACTCAGAAGGCAGACGCAGTCAGATCTCTGTGAGTTTGAAGCCAGCCTGGTCTACAGAGAGAGTTCTCTGTTTCACAGAGAAACCCTGTCTTAGAAAAGAAATAAATAAAGAAATAAATAAATAAAGAAATATCAACATCTTTAGACCTCTTATGTGACTGAAATCGTGTGGTAGTTTTCTTCCTGTGCCTGGTTTATTTCAACTTTGTATAATGTCTTTTATTTCCATCCATTTTGTTTCAGATTGCAGGATTGCAGCATTTTGTGGCAGAGTAATGTTCTAGGTTATGCATATATATCATATACACACATAACATTTTTATTATCCATTAATTAGTCAATGAATACTTAGATTGATTTCAGTTTAGTGCTGTTATAGTGTTACAGTAAGTACAGAAGTGCAGATGTCTGATATTTTCATTTCTTTCAGGTAGTAGTAATATTGTTAGGCAGTATGGTAGTTTTATTTTTACTTTTCTGAGGTATCACCATACTGCTTTCTACAATACCTACAATAATTTACATCTCCCCAGAAGTATGTGGAAGGTCTTATTTCTCTTCGTCTTTGTCCCCTGTGGTTAGTTTCAGTCTTTGATAATAAATATTCTAATAAGAGTGAAATGATATCTCAGTGTACTTGTCATTCACATTTCTTGATTAGCAATGATGAACATTTTTGCACATGCCTATGGATCATTTGTGTGTTTTATTTGTTTGATTGCTTATTTGTTTATTTTGATATGCTTACTTATGCCTCTTGGAAACCTTTTAAAATGGATTATCTGGGGAGTAGTGGTGCATCCCACATAGAGTTTGAGGGTTTTATATGAGATTTTATGCTGATTATCAAATACACTAAACTTCATAAAGTCAAATAATTTGATTCATGTTACGGTTCAAATCTTAACTGAAAAAAAAAAGTCCCTTTGTAGAAAAAAAAAAAAACTATTGTGAAAAAAACTTAAAATTGATCTAACCAGCAAATATGGAAAACGTCTGCCCTCTCCTGGAGAGCATGGGAAAATGCTTTCCTGCACATTTCTCTGTATCTGCTTCTTCAGTAAAAAGGCATTGTTTTGTTTGTTTTACTTGATTTGCTTTTGGTTTGTTTTTTTTATTTGTTTATTTTTCCACTAAAAAATTTACACTTCCTCCCCTCCTCCCATTCCCCTCCTGCTCCCTCACTCATCCTCCTCCCTCCCCCTCTGATGTGGGAGTGTCATATATCAATCTGTTGATTTCATTGGCTAATTAAATAAAGAAACTGCTTGTCCTGATAGGTTAAAACATAGGTGGGAGGAGTAAACAGGAGGAAGAGGAAGTGAGGTAAGACTCCTCAGACAGACTCAACAGCTCTGCTCTGGAGGAGAGACGCCATGCTCAGCTCTCCCGGGTAGACGCGATAGCTCCTCTCAGAGACACGAGATAGCTCTGCTCTCAGAGACACACGCGATGAAGCTCCGACTCAGGGTGGACGTAGGCTAGAATCTTCCCGGTAAGCGAACCTTGGGGTGCTTACACACATTATTAGAAATGGGCTAGTCCAAGTGTGAGAATTAGCCAAGAAGAGGCTAGATATAATGGGCAAGCAGTGTTTAAAAGAATACAATTTGTGTGTTGCTATTTCGGGCATGAGCTAGCAGGCGGCCTGGGTGCTGGGGACGCAGCCCCGCCGCTCTTATTTCAACACCCCTCCCTGCTTGAGAGAGGGCAGGGAACCCTAGGTCCTCCCCCCTACATCCAGGCCTAGGAAGCTGTGCATCCAAATAAACTAGGGTCCCAAAAAGTACATGCAGTAAAAACAAGTCCCAATGCCTTTATCAATGGCTTCTCAGTCAGCCCCCATTGTCAGCCACAATCGGAGAGTTCGGTTTGATCACATGCTCCTTTAGTCCTGGTCCAGCTGGTTTTGGTGAGCTCCCATTGGATCAGGCACACTGTCTCAGTGGGTGGACCAACCCCTCACAGTCCTGACTTCCTTGCTCATGTTCTCCCTCCTTCTGCTCTTCAACTGGACCTTGGGAGCTCAGTCCGTTGCTCTGATGAGGGTCTCTGTCTCTATCTCCATCTGTTGCCAGATGAAGATTCTATGGTGATATTCGAGATAATCATCAGTGTGATAGTGGGGCAAGGCCAGTTCAGGCACTCTCTCCTCTGCTGCCCAAGGACCTAGCTGGGGACATCCCCGTGGACACCTGGGATCCCCTCTAGAGCCAAGTCTCTTGTCAACCCTAAAATGGTTCCCTTAATTAAGATATCTTCTTCCCTGCTCCCATATTCGCCCTTCCTCCATCTCCACCCTCCCACTCTCCCAAATGCTCGCCAGTCTTTCCCTTCTCCCTCCATGGGGGTAGGGGTAGGGGTGGGGTGAGGTGGGGGAAGGGGAGAGGGAGAGAGGGAAGGGAGAATGGAAAGACTGTTTTTGGTTTTTGTTTGTTTGATTGATTAGTTGATTGGGTGGTTGATTGATTTTTAAAGGAGTTTAATGACACACTCAACAAGAAAGTGTGGGTCAGGTCCTGGGCCACCAAGGGTTTTAGAAACAATTCTAGATGGAACTGTGTAAGAATAACTATTACTAATACTTATCATTCTCTCTGCCTCTCTCGTTGTCACGAAAATCAATGTCTTTAGGGTTTGGAGAGATGACTCTGTGTTTAAGAGCACTGGCTCCTCTTCCATAGGACCCAGGTTTAATTCTTAGTACCCACGTGGTGGCTCACTATCATCTATAACTTCAGCCACAGGTCATTCCAGGATATGATGTCCTATTCTGACTCCTGAGTGAACCAAGCATGCACATGGTGCACAGACACACAGAGGAAACAAACATACACATAAAATAAAAGTAATTTTAAGCTTGGCAATGGTGGTGCATGCCTTAAATACCAGTACTCAAGAGACAGAGGCAGGTGGATCTCTGAGTTCAAAGCCAGCCTGGTCTATAGAGCAAGTTCCAGGATAGCCAGTGCTGTTACACACAGAAACTGTCATGAACACCCCCCTTGCTCCCAAAATTAATTTTAAAATATCAATACCTTAATGTTGAGCCTAATGAGTAACTATGAAAATTTTAACAAGCCTAATTTGTCACTAGTTCCTTATCCATAAAATGAGAGTGGATTTAGATAGTCTTAATACTTTAAATTCTACTTCTGTTTCTTTAATGTATTTATTGAACTTATAAGAAAAATTTCCCTAAACATGGGTAAACATATGTGTTGATGCATACATGTGTGACTCCCTGCACATACAGATAGACACAAAATTGTTCCAGACATTCTCTAAGTTAACATGAACCTAAAAGGACACTGACCTCTAATCAGTTTCTAATCTCTGAAATACTTGCATAGTTTTAGCACATTTCAATGCCAAGCACTCATGTTGAATATTTATCTCTTAAAATGGATTGTTGTTCCTGGACTGATATTGTTAAGCCCGTCTCACAGGACCCCCAATCAAGACCACCACAGAGCCAGTATCTGATGAAAGCACACTGAGGTTGATTACAAGTTAGCTAACTCAGACTGTAATCCAACACACCAACACAGTGAGTGGGGGAGAATGGCCCTGAGGATTCAGAGTAAGGGATTTTTAAAGGGAAAAAAGCAACCATGGTGGCACAAGTCTTGGCATTTGGAGATTGAGTAAAAGAATACAACTTTTGAATTCATTGGTTGGAGTATAAGGAAATTTCAAAACAGTGGCTGTCAGCATACAAGAATTTCAAAACAGTGGTTAATCAGATACCTACAAGGACATTTGAAGCAAGCAGATGTTGTTTGGACACCCTGGTGGGTCACTTTGACTAGGACTGTCACAGTTTCTTGGGAATATTTATGAGTTTGCTGGGCTACATTTACCTCCACTTAGTTAGGTCCTGTCTAAAATGGGGTTCTTTCTCCAAATGGATTTTGTTCTACTTCTTCAATATGATCTAATATTAATAAGAATGCAAAGGTAAAAGCAACTTTCTCACTATGTTTCTGAACTTAATATTTACTGGGCAAAAAGGTTTTTCACAAAGATATGGTTTTATCTTTTATTCCCTGAATTAGAAATTTTTATTTTCAATTCCGAAATTTATGAAATGTATCTGCTCTGTCAGAACAATGACATTACCAAACTTGATATTTGGAGATAGTTGGAAATTTCATTTGCTTTGTTAGAACATTGCTAATAGCTTGTGCTAGCTCTATCCTTTGTAAACACCAATGATTTATCTCCTGACAAGTTTAAAGGTCAAAGAAAAAATGGTCACACACTATGCTAAGTTCTTGATTAATTGTTGGCCAGCAACTCCTTACCCTGGGGAGGGTATTCCAAGGATAACCAATTCATTTGTACACAAAATGTCAATGATTTCCAGAAATCACAAAGCTTTATGACAAAAGTATTGCATCTCTGCTATCCTTGGTTCTTGGTTTTTAAAGCTAATATAATAGTAAGTAATTTCAACAAAATATTTTGCCAGCTAATGCTAATGAAAAACACCAAGTTAACATCAGGATATAAACTGTGTGCATTTCCTACTATTAAGGCTTGATTTATTGAAGGAATTTCTGATTTATATATGGGATACTGTTCTGAAACTTTTAGGGTGTCTATCAGTTTTGTTACTATGGACCAAAGTCATATGCTTGAGGTACCATAAATTTCTTCCATGGTGGCTTCCCACGTTCTGTACTCATCTATAGTGAGTGTGGAACATGAGGTTTGGGATTTCTAGTACCTAGGCTTCAGTCCTGTCTCCATGTTGTCTCTTCCCCATTAATCCTTATTACCAAAGTCTCCAACTTATAGAAAGTGAAATTCTAGGCTAGAGAGATGGCTTTTCCGTGATATTTCATTTGTATTTTATTTTATTTTATTTTATTTTATTGGTTTTTCGAGACAGAGTTTCTCTGTAGCTTTGGTGCCCATCCTGGAACTAGCTCTTGTAGACCAGGCTGGCCTCGAACTCACAGAGATCCGCCTGCTTCTGCCTCCCGAGTGCTGGGATTATAGGCGTGCGCCACCACCGCCCGGCATCATTTGTATTTTAATAAATAAAGCTTGCCTGAAGATCAGAGAGTAAAGCAGCCACACTGGTCAGCCACACAGAACAGGCAATGGTGGCACATACCTTTAGTCCCGGTAGCCACACTAGTTCGCCATATAATCAAGTAATTTCCAAGAGGTAATTATAATCAAACAATTTGAAAAATGGAGGACTAGCAATGTAAGAGGCNTTTTTTTTTTTTTTTTTTTGTTGTGTTAGTGGGTGGGTTTTTTTTTTTTTTTTTTTTTTTTTTTTTTTTTTTTTTTTTTTTTTTTTTTTATCTTCCTAGGACATTGAAGTACAAAATTAAATTATTTGAGATATCTGTGATTGCTTTCAGATTCAAATAAATGTATCTGGCAAAAGAAACCTTACCACATTAATTTTCTTTTTTTATTTATTCTTTGTAGACGTCACATCATGCATCCCGATCCTACCCTTCTCCCTTCACCACTATTGCAGCCTACCTGCCTTCCAGCAAAACAAAATTTAAAAGAAAAAACAAAAACCAAACTAACAAAATAAAGCAAAGCAAAAAAAAAAGACAGTGGGGAGATGCTGTCATGAAAGCTGTAGTGTGACCTGGTGTGTCACAAAATCACACAGTTCACCCTTTAGTCCTTTCATCTTTACTTGCAAGCGTTCCTTGTACTGAGTCATTGGCCTGATTTGAGGTCTCTGGCTTCTGCTACAGCACCAATAATGGGCTCTCACTGGGGGCTCGTCTTGGGTATCCTATTTTTGTCCTGTGTCATGAAGAATCTGAAGTTTTGGATCTGTAGGTTCATCCCCTCCACATGCTCCAGCAGTTGACAGATTCAGTGGATGACAGGGTGGGCTAACTCACAGCCCTGGTTCTGGGCCTGGATGGTAACTGGGCTGGTCAACCGCCCAGCTTTCCCACATCATCCCCATCCAGGGGAACCCTCCAGCACTGCCTCAGCCAGTCCATCCAGTGCAGTTCTCCTGCTCTCCTGCCCTCAGGTCCTCAGATCTGGTTCACCCACCCTCACACCACCAGGGCCAGCTCCACTGTCGTGCCCAGACGTGGTGCAAGGCCCTCTCTCTCAGGGGCATACGAAGTGGGATGGGGTCAGCTCTCCTGCTCTCGCATCCTCAGGACTAGCTCACCTGTGTTCTGACAGCAGGGCAGGCTTTAGTATGCTGCCCAGGTGGGGTTCATGCCCATAGCCCATAGTGAGGGTGGGGCCATCTTCCCTAGCCGAGTGGGCAGCTCTCCGGCTGCAGTATCCTATGACAGGAAGGGCCAGCTAACCCAGGGCCAGAGAGGGGTAGGGCCAGCTCAACATGGCCCTAGGATTTCAGCATGCATGGTTCCTGTGATCCCTTGTGGTAACACAGGACATGGACATCATGGACATGGATACCACCACCACCACCCCACAGCAGGACAATGGACCCAGATGAGTCTTGGTGATATTCATGGCTTCTTTTTACCACCAAGGGCTTTGTGGATGCCCAGGGGCTAGTCAACCAGCTTTGACCATGTTAGTATCTGAGGGCTTTGCTGCAGTCAGGGACATACTGGTCTGGGAGGTCTCTACTGCCACCAGGTCCATGGTGACATCTGGGCCAAGCTTTCGCCAAGAACCACCTTAATGAAATTAATACACTGTGGCATTTTATAAGAAATTTTAAATCATAGTAAATGAGATTCTTTTGATCTAAGAGATAAACTAGGCATGAAATTTTATTTAAATATTTTTTCCTCTTTGGATTAGCTTCTAGCATATTATTCCTTTCTGATATTTTTTCCTCGGTTCTTGGTAACCAAGGTAACATCTTTCTGTGTGCACTGATGGCATAATTCAAAATTGATACCCAAATAATTCAGCTGCTTGGGAATAATGCAGCTAAAACTACTGGTGACCAGCAGCATTAGCAGAGGAGCCGAGCTCCAGCCTAGCACATTCCATTTGCACATATATGTCTTCACTTGAGGCTGAGAGAAGCAGACTCTGGATGACAACTATTGTCTCAATGTTATTTGAAGAATCACAGAAAACTAGATCTAAATTCATATATGTGCAAGAGGTTTACTACTAGATAAGACTGAATTAGGTCCAAGTCACTAGGACAGCACATTGTTAAGAAAAACCCTTTGCATAATGGACTTCTGGTTGTGAGTGTGCTCTGAAACAAGTGAGAAAGTACAAGACTTGATTCAGAAGATGAACCACATTATTTCTTACCACCTTCATTGTAAGCCAGAGCCCTGTTCTGGCAGAAGCTCCATCTCATTCCCCCTCCCCCATCTTGCTCTTCCCAAACCCTGCCTCATCTCAGAAAGCCCACTAAACACCGCTCAAGAGATGCTCAAGATCATTCCCACAGGGTATTTAAACTGTTCTCCCTCCCCCACAAAAAAAAACAGACACGTAGTTTTTCAGGCTCTCTTCCCCATCAGCTCGCTGGAATGGCTGGAAAATCATCCGAAAGCATTTTACTCTTTAAACCTGGGTCTTTTCTAATTTGGCTTGATTTGGTCTGGTTTGGATTGCTTCATCACCAGAGATGCTTATCCGGGTGCAGAAACTATATTTACTCTGTCCATTACTCTGTAATAGTGATGCAGCCTTTCCTTAGTCTCTCACATTACTTTCCTGCCTCCACTAATTCTATGCTTACCAATTGCTTGTACCCTTAAAATTCAGGTCTAATGCATGTAAAAATAAAACAGAAAATCAAAACCTACCTACCCAATCTGAAGGTCCCAAATATCATTCTTGGTACTCATCTATGTATTTTTCATTCTTTAGAAGACCATTAAAAATAAGAATGTACCGCAGAAAAAGAATATATCACAGATATATTCTTTTTATATGAGAACAAGTTTAGATCCCCACAGTCATTTAACAAGTTGGGTGTGATTGCACACAAGTTGAGTGTGACTGCACAAATGCCTGTAACCTGTATTATGGGGAAAGGAAACAAAAGAATTTCTGGTTCATGACCACAGAACCAGTGGGGAATGTGAGGGAGCAAGACAGTACAAAGGTTCCTCCATCGTGTATTCTTGCTGAAGCCATTCCAGGTTTAACTAGAATCTTATCTCCTTGATAGAGAACCCCACAGAAAACTACCCAGCTCTGTTCTAGGAAACCAAAGATCAGGATGTCCTAGCTAACTTAGCTTCTGTTAAACTTTGTATGGAATCCCCTCCACCTAACTTACCTTAGGTGCCTGTTTGTACAGAACCCCCACCAACTAACTGCTTGTCTTAGCTTCTCTTAAACTTACTTACTTACTTACTTACTTTAAATGCTTACTTCTATGAAGTCCCCTGCGGCTGACAAGCAAGATGCCAGGACATAGTTTCCGCCTTTAAAAAATTTGTATTATGAACACTAGGGGCTACACCCAGATCCTTGAACACTTGGGTTTGGACTCAGACCGCTGGAATAAAGACTTTCAATAGTCTATACACTGTGTCTGAGTGGTCATCTCTGGTGAACTCCCCATAACATTTTGGAGGTCCCTCCAAGATGCCAGAGATTGGACTCAGATGCTTAGGGTCTTGGGACCCCCAGGAGTGGTGAAGAGTGCACCAGGTGGAGAGGATTCTTAGGGGGCCCATGCCCCTAGATGTTCCAGAGCCCCAAGAAATTCTGATGCAGACATCACCACTCAAAAGGGTAAAACGGAAGTCATTTGGTTGGAATGCTTCTGGAGGTGAGTCCACTCTGTCGAGGGCACCAATTAAAAAGGACACAAGAAGGGAGGTCAGACACTGCCAGTCCTCTAGATTCTTTGCTGGGGTCTGTGTGGAACACTACCAGAGCCCCCCGTTTTGTTGGATGAATGATTGCTCAATGGCCATCTGTGATTGTCTAGTTGTTGCTGTTAGACGTCTGTGTGTTGTTTGTCTCTGTCTCTTTAAGTCGGTCTGCCACTTGCCCTTGTGATAGGAAGAAATGCAAGCTGCCCAAAAACAGTATATGTTAAAACATTTTCAGAAGGGCTTCTAGGATGTAGAGTATTATGGGGTTCATTTCTCCTTAGAAATATGCCACATCAGTGCCCTCTTCTTAAGGTAGGGTAGCCATCTGAGGGGTCTTTGGATCTACAGGCAGTCAGGACAGTCTGGAACATTGTGACAGGCTCCCCCAATCTTCCTGATCAGTTCTCTCTCTGTTTCTCCCTCCCCCCTCTCTCCCACTTCTTGGTTTTTGAGACAAGTTTTCTCTGTGTAACGGCCCTAACTGTCTTGGAACTAGCTCTTGTAGGCCAGGCTGGCCTTGAACTCACAGAGATCCATCTGCCTCTGCCTCTGCCTCTGCCTCTGCCTCTGCCTCTGCCTCTGCCTCTGCCTCTGCCTCTGCCTCTGCCTCTGCCTCTGCCTCTGCCTCTGCCTCTGCCTCTGCCTCTGCCTCTGCCTCTGCCTCTGCCTCTGCCTCTGCCTCTGCCTCTGCCTCTCAAGTGCTGAGATTAATGGCCTGCCTGGCCCTGAACAGTTCTCTTATGTAAATTGTTGGCTAACCCTTGCCCTCATCCACCCCCATGGTCGAAAACCTGTGTTCTTTCTATGAGAATCAGAGTTTTCTTGGTCCAGCAGGAATAATCAGAGAAGCCAAGACTACTGCAGGTTTTCTCTGTTTTATCTACAGAGATGGAGATTCTGTCTCCTTATGCTCTGACTGAATCAACAGGAAATGTGAGAGGGACCAAACGAAGTGGTCCTGTGCAGAGAGAAGTCTAGGAGGCCCACTCTGCTACACCCATCCTTCCTCTCTCGCATGCACCCAGAGCGGCTATACCTACAGCGAGGACAAACAGGCTTTGTCTGACACTGTGAGATTATCATCTCTCTCCTCCTTGAGGGAAGTGCCAGGTCCCAGTTACAGACAAGGGGAAAGAAGAAGGCAAGGGAGGAGGTTCCCCGCTCCCATTTATGGTATGCGACTTCTTCACCACCAGTAATTTATATAATTGGAAGACCCAAAACCCTTCTTTTTTCAGAGAAGCTGAAGACTCTTACCAGCCTGTTGGAAACTATTTTCTATATACCAGCTGACTGAGAATGATTATCAACATCTCTTGGCCACCCTGTTTACAGCCAAGGAGCAAGACTGAATCCATTCAGAAAGTAGGAAGTCGGCTCTGGGGTCAGGTGGTGGGCCACTGTCTGACACAGAGACCTAAGTAGAGTGAAGTTTCCTGTCCCCCAGACCCAAGTGGAATCCTAATACCAATGAAAGTAAGAGGTTGTTGGACACTTTTTGCCAAACGTTGCTGGGGAGACTAAAAGCAGCCAGAAAACCTATCAACGTGTCCAAGGTTAGTCAGGTAATTCAAAGCCCTGATAGACTGCCTACTGAGCCCTGTGAGGCATACCTGCTGTCTACTCCCATAGAGCCAGTTGTCCCTGAAAATCATCCATCCACCAATATCGCCTTTGTCATGCAGTCAGCTCCAGACACCAGGAGAAAGCTCCAGAAATTAGAGGAATTTAAAGGGATAAATGCATCTCAAAAGGTTGCAATAGCTGAGATTCAGGCAAGGACAGACAGATAAAGAAGTACTCCTTGTAGGGATTGCTGCCCTTAGGGAAATGCATAAGACAGGAACTAGGGAAATAGGTCAAGAAAAAACATCTGGAAAACAACCAGTGTGCCTGTTTTAAGACCAAGGGTCACTGGAAAAATGAATGTCCTAGCAGAAAAGAAAAAGAGGAGAGTCAGCCCATCCTTCAGCTAGTTGAAAACTGATGGGCTGGGTTCTGTACTACTTACCCGTGGGAGCCTAGGATGACAGCAAGAGTAGGGGACAAACTATTAGGAACTTTAACAAAAACTCAGAGCCATCATCTCTTTCAGGAGAAATTTGGTTAGTTTAACTCTTGACATAGGCCAAGCACCTACCAATTACACATGTCCTTTATGGTGGCCAAGTTCTTGGGTAAGAGATAGTCCTTACACAAGAACTTGGCCACTAGTAAGAAAGAGCTATCCTCAGGCTACCTGCAGGAATTCAAAACAAGGTACCCTGATGTTTGGGCTAAGGGGCTTAGAAGCACACCAGACATTCATCATAGTTCAAGTTTTGTAACACAGGTGTGGTCAAACAATACCTCATGAGCTGGGAGGCCAAGCAAGGGATCAAACACATCAACCATTTGAGGGAGTTGAGGGAAGCAAGAATTCTTGTTCTCTGCCACTCCTCATGGAACACTCCTTTGTTCCCTTCTCTGAAGCCCTAAACTCAAGCTTCCAACCAGTACAGGATGTAAGGGAGGTCAACAATTGTGTCAAAACCATCCATCCCACAACACTGAACACTTACACTCTGCTAACTTTGTTGTCTCCTGAAAGGAATATCTGTATCTATATAGTCCTAGGTCTAAAAGATGCTTTCTTCTACCTTCCACTGGCACCAGTCAGCCAACCCATATTTGCCTGTGAATAGACTGACCCAGAGGGTGGATATATCAGCCAACTAACATGGACTCGGTTGCTGCACAGGTTCGAAACTCACCAATATTGCTTGATGAAGAAGCCCTGAGTGCAGATTTGTTAAGAAGAAAGTAGACACTTTCCAATGATTGTATTTCAGACACTCTGCAAATCTCTGCTCCCATATGGGAAAGAGAGGTACAAGAATTCCTGGGGGTGGTTGGGCATTGCTGGATTAATGGGGTCCTTATAAGAGTCCGGCTCTTAAGAATTCCTTCTCAGGGTTCAATTAAAGTCACCACAAAAAGCAAAAGGACCTAAAATCTAAGGGTAAGAAATCTACTCACAACAGGATCTGTCTATCTATGTCTCTTTATTCTTTTCCTTTTCCTCTTATTCCTTATTCATTCTCTTCCTGTTACAGATGTTCCCAGTAATCTATACCTTTATAACCAGCATTTCCCAGCCTCTCTCTTTCTCTCTCTCTCTCTCTCTCTCTCTCTCTCTCTCTCTCTCTCTCACACACACACACACACACACACACACACACACACACGGGGAGAGAGAGAGAGAGAGAGAGAGAGAGAGAGAGAGAGAGAGAGAGAGAGAGAGAGAGATCTGTAGCTGTCAGCTCAAAGGTGAGAGCAGCTAGTGCATGTCCAGGGAACTCCTTAATGGAGAAAATTAGTTCAGAAAGGAATTAAATCATCAGAGAATTCTAGAAAGGAAGGCTAGTGCACTACACTACATTTTTAGGTGGTTGGATAAAGCTAAAAGGTTTGTTTTCAGTAAAAATATGAATAGAGCACGGATTACTTTTTAAATCTGTGCACTGCTTTTTTTCTTCCAGCATGTATAGAGGTTACCGGGTAACCAGGCAACCTATGTAAACAGTCAGGGGAAGCCAATGGCTCCTTTTCTGATCAGCACATTCACCAGGTATTCTAATTTCTATGGGCCTGGGTCTGGAGTTTACACTTACTGCTCTAAGCAGTAGAAACAAAGAGGAGACCGAGGTCTCTAAATTATCAGTTTCGGGGTAGGCTGTTATCAGTCGTTCTGATCATGGGTGGACACTGTGGGTCTGTGGCACCAACAGGAAGAAAGTCTTTTCTCTGGGTTGTGGTTAATTACCACTTCTGCTGTCCTTGAGAGTAAAACACAAGCAGTAAATTTCCTGGACTAAAATCATCAGTAAACTGAGGTGAAGGTGAGTGTACGGAGTTAGGAATCTTTTAATGTAAGGTTAGTTTGGGGTCACTGTAAGCTTATTCTTCTCTCCACCTGATCTTGGTAGCAAGGACTAGGGTATTGTGATATGCTTGACTATGTTTTTGTTTGAAGGAATTTGGACATTGGCACTTTGAGTTAGGAAAGCAGTGGAACACTTTAAGAACTGTTTAACAGGCCATATATTAGTAGGAACACGGAAGACACTGGTGCTAAGAGTTATATGAACTGTTGGAGGCTGGCTCAAGAGGTTTCAGAGGAGAAGAATTTTAGTATGACACCTAGAGATGGTTCTTATGATATTTAGATGAAAATGTGGATGCTTTTTGCCCTTCTGAAGAGTCTGCCTGAGGATAAAGTGAAGAGCTTTGGATTAATTCCATTGGCAGAGGAAATCTCAAAACAGCCTAGTATAGACGTTTGTGTGGTTATTAGTGGTAACTCTAATGAAGATTTATAATGAAAAGGAACAAGCTGAGCAAATAAAAATATAAAATGTAGAGATTGAGAAAAAGAGCACCAGGAAGTGGAATAGAGCTAAATCCTGTGCTGGAGGACATAAACAGATTAAGAAATGGGACAAAGGGAGTGGTGACCTCAAGGCAAGATCCTACCCAGCTAGGTTTCCAATTTGTGAAAAGGAACTAGAGAAAGGCTTAGAGCTGGCTGTTGTGTCTCACATCTTTAATCCATACACTTGGAAAGCAGAGGCTATCAGATTCGAGTTTAAAGTCAGCCTGGCCTAGAGATTCAGTTTTAGGACATCCAAGTTTAAGCAGTGAAAGACAGAAAGCTAGCAAAGATGTAACTGAACAAGAGGGCCATGTTCCAGGCCCAGTAAACAGCAGAACTTTGCAGCCTCAGTCATGTGGTTCTGGAAGTAAAGTATAGAAGAAAGGGACCATGGACTTTGCCACAGAGATGAAGGAAAGATGCTGAGGCCATGTATGTTTCAGGGGTGTACGTGAATGGAGGCCTAGAAAGACCATTGCGTGAAACTGTGAAGTTGAAGCCTGAATTTCCTTGGAGACCCCAAGATGCTAGAGCCATGAGATACCTGTCCAGGAAAGCTGCTAAAAGGGAGTGGAACCAGCCTAAGAGAAAGAAGTATGTTGCAATCAACATAGTTGAAAGGAGTTGGAGATATGAAAAGCATTTTGACATTAGATGTGGAGATGCAGTTTGGAGTTTACCCAGCTGGATTTCAGTCTTGCTTTGGTCCAGTATTCCTTCATTATGCTCCCTTCTCTACATTTTGGAATGGTAATGTATATCCTGTGCCATTATATGCTGGAAGTACGTGATCTGTTTGTTTTTTTTTTTTATTTTGATTTTATAGGGGATGGTTATTATTCCTTTAAAACGGCGGCGGTGGGTGTGTGGACAAACACAGGATAGGCGAGACACGCGTAAAGGAAGAGACGAGACACGCGGCTCCCACGTGGGTGCGCTTTAATGGGGAAAGGGAAACACGATAAGGGATGGGGTGTGCAAGACACACAAGGGGCCAGAGAGGGGTGAGAGAGAGGGGGCGAGAGAGCGAGACCTCGTGGAAGCTCGCTTTTAACGGGGGGCGCAAGGTTATCTGGGAGGAATGACCCGCACCTGGGCACGCCAGCGTGCCAAGGTGTTCTTACTCCAGGAGGAGTCTGGGAGCTGTAGTTTCCAAGGAACAACAATGGTAGTTAAAAGATTGCATGAATCTCAGAAAAGACTGAGCTTTGAATTTTAAAACATTGTTGAGACAGTAACAGACTATGGGGACTTTTGAAGTTGAACTAAATGTATTTTACATTATATATTGTTACAAGTTTATTGTGATCATGAAGTGGTATGTGATAGTTTAAATGTGTTTGGTCCCCATAAGCTCATAGGGAGGGCACTATTAGGAAGTCTGGTCTTGTTGAAGTAGGTGTGACCTTGTTGGAGGAAGTGTATCACTGTGGGGGCAGGTTTTGAGATTTCCTATGCTCAAGATACTGCCCAGTCAGCTGAGGAGAGAGAGCCTGAAATGGCCCGATTCTATAACCATACTAATGAATATCTTGCATATCACCATAGAACCTTCATCTGGCGATGGATGGAGATAGAGACAGAGATCCACACTGGAGCACTGGACTGAGCTCCCAAGGTCCAAATGAGGAACAGAAGGAGGGAGAACATGAGCATGGAAGTCAAGACCGCAATGGGGCACCCACCCACTGAGACAGTGGGGCTGATCTATTGGGAGCTCACCAAGGCCAGCTGGACGGGGACTGAAAAAGCATGGGATAAAACCGGACTCTCTGAATATGATGGACAATGAGGGCTGCTGAGAAGCCAAGGACAATGGCACTGGGTTTTGATCCTACTGCATGTACTGGCTTTGTGAGAGCCTAGCCTATTTGGATGCTCACCTTCCTAGACCTGGATGGAGGGGGGAGGACTTTGGACTTTCCACAGGGCAGGGAACCCTGACTGCCCCTCAGACTGGAGAGGGAGGGGGAGAGGAGTGGGGCGTGGGGACTGGGATGAGGAGAAGGGAAAAGGGAGGCGGAAACTTTTAATAATAATAACTAACTAAATAAATAAATAAATAAATAGATAGATACTGCCCAGTGTCATACTCTATATCTGTTGCCTTCTGATCAAGATGTGGCCAGCACCATATCTGCCTGCACATCAACATGCTTCCTGCCATGATGATAATGGACTGAAGCTCTGAAATGTTCGTTGACACTTGAATTAAATGCTTTCCTTTATAAGAGTTGCTGTGGTCATGGTGTCTCTTCACAGCATTAGAAACCCTAACTAAAGCAATGAATGTGGTGCTTTGAATGGGAATAGCCCCATAGGTTCATATGATTGAATGCTTGTTCATTAGGGAGTGGCACTACTTGATAGGTTTTAGGACGTGTGGCCATGTTGGAGAAAGTGTGCGACTAGGGATAGGCTTTGGGGTTTCAAATGCTCAAGCCTGTTCCATTGTCTCTTTCTCTCTCTCCCTGTTTCCTGCAGATTAAGATGTAGAACTCCCACCTTCTCCTCCAGCATTATGGCTGTCTGCATGTCACCATGCTTTCTGCCATGATTATAATGGACTAACCCTCTGAAAATGTAAGCAAGCCATAATTAAATGCTTTCCTTCATAAGAATGGCTGTGATCATAGTGTCTCTTCACAGAAATAGAACATTGACTAAGACAATGGAATTTGATGATAGCCAAGTCCCTCTTGCCAGCACCATGCCTTCTGAATGGACTATGAATTGAGCACGTGGGCCTCCAAAACCTTTAAAAAGGCCCTGGTGTCTACCCCAGCCTAGACTTTCCCCGGCTTTACTATGTCATTTCATCTGTATATGGATGAGACCATAGGTATTGCCAAGGGAGTCCTCACGCAAACCCTAGAACCTTAGAAAAGACCAGTGATAGGTCCAAAATACTTGACCCCATTGAAGCTGGATGACAAGCATGTGGAAGAGCAATAACCACTATGCCTGCTGGTCAACAAAGTTGAAAACTTAACTTTAGGATAAGAACTGGTCCTCACAGTTCGATACTCTACTGAGGCCTTCTTAAGGGGATCTCCAGAGAGATGGATATCTAACACCCAGATGATCGAAAACCAAGCCCCGATTCTGGGTAAACCATATTATTTTGTTCCATAAGACATAGGCTTTCAAAAAAAAAAAAAAGACATAGGCTCTCCTCCTTACCAGTCTCCTACCAGATGACAACCCTGAGAAATCTCTGCATAACTGGAGGTAATTGGCCTGATTCAGGCCATCAGGCCCATTCTGATTAATGTCTTATTGGCTTTATCAGAGAAAGTATTGTTCAAAGAAGGGAGCAGCTTCATCCAAGATGGGAGCAGAACTGCAGGAGCAGTGGTGGTGACACAAGATAGGACCATCTGGAAACGAACTTTGAGCAAAGTTTAGTCCTTTTGAAGTCATGTTTGGGATACTATCTCCCATCCTCTCTAAACTGGGAGGCATTCCCCAGTCATAGGATGGGAAGATGTACAGCAGAAAGATATCTTTTGGCATGGCATAGCCATTACATTAATGAACTTGTTGTGGCTATAGTTAAAGGCACAGGACACATTCAAGGTCAGCCCCCATCAGCATATCATCAGGGGATGGGGAGGAGAGCATGAAGTTCCAACTGGCCCTTAGAGACTGTTGACAATTAATGGTTGTTGAAAGAGAGGTGGACCATTTATTCACTGATTAAATTCAGTGGGTTATGCACAAAAAGAAGACATGAAAGGATGATTTGTTGGAAAGAAGGGTTTCAATGGGAGAGGAAGGGGGAAACAAAAGGGATGAAATGCCTATAATTCACTAAATAAATATATAAAACTCTCAACAAAGTCACCAAAAATTTTTATTCCACCCAATTTCCTAAAAATAACATGATTTTTATTTTATTTTAGTTTTTATGTCGGAGCCTGCTCAAACAAAGTGAGCTAGGTTTCCTGGATCATGGATGATGAAATGTCAGATGGAAGAAACTGAGACAGAAAACACAGGATAGAATCAGGAGGTCTGTTTGGTGATGTCAAAACAGCCAAAGAGCCCAGAGTTTATTTCAGAACTTACATTTTTACAGATTAAGGGCAGAAGGCAGAACAAAGAGCTGTACAGTCAGCTAACCTCCTCCCTGCACTGTCCTTGGGAGAAAGCATAAGCAGGTTCATATCACTCCTGTGAATTCTGCTAGCGGCAAGCAGTTTCTGCTTTCTACTTCTTAATAGATAATGTGTTCTTTTCCCATGGGCAAAATGCTCTTTCCATGGGCGTAATCAGATCTTTCTCATATCCCTCAAGGATGCAGGCAGAGCAGGCAAGCTTGAACTCAAATGACTTTTAAGTCAGAATTGACTCCAGATGGAAACTGAATCACATGTGGGCTCCCATATTTGTTAAGGAGTCTGTCTTTTCTTTAATTGCATGTTTTTAACAGCTTTAACAGCATTTTTATTGTTTTTAAAGTGTCTACATATTTTTCTCCACTCCTTTCCCTTCCTCCCCTCCCCTTCTACCATCTCCCATGGTCCCCATGGTCCCAATTTACTCAGGAGATCTTATATTTTTCTACTTCCCATTTAGATTAGATCTATGTATGTCTCTCTTATGATCCTCATTGTTGTCTAGGTTCTCTGGGATTGTGAACTGTAGATTGGTTTTTCTTTGCTTTATGCCTAAGCCACTTATGAGTGAGTAAATATGATAATTGTCTTTCTGCGTCTGGGTTACCTCAGTCAGTAGGATGCTTTCTAGATCCACCCATTTTCCTGTAAATTTCAAGATGTCATTTTTTTTCCGCTGGGTAGTACTCCATGGTGTAAATGTACCAAATTTCCTTATCCATTCTTCGGTCGAAAGGCATTTAGGTTGTTCCCAGGTTCTGGCTATGACAAACAAAGCTGCTATGAACATAGTTGAGCACATGTCCTTGTGACAAAATTGAGCATCCTTTGGATATATACCCAAGAATGGTATTGCTGGGTTTGAGAAAGGTTGTTTCCTAGTTTTCTGAGAAATTTCCATACTGATATCAAAAGGAGCTATACCAGCTTGCACTCCCACCAGCAATGCAGAAGTGTTCCCTTTACACAAAATCCTCTCCAGCATAAGCTGCTATTAGTGTTTTTGATCTTGGTCATTCTTACAGGTATAACATAGAATCTCAGAGTTCTTTTGATTTGCATTTCTATGATGGATAAGAATGTTTAAGTTTTTTAACAGTCAAAAATTAGGTTTTACTGTGTCTGTGAGGGTTTATGCCTGTATTATCTATCCTATTTCAATGGTCTTGATGTCTGTTTTCTTGTAAGTTCAATGAAGTGTTTTTTTTCTTTGACAAATCCATACAAATGTATAACATATTTGAATTTTTACCCCCTATGGTCTTGTCTCATCACCCATCACTGGTGCTATACATTTTCTTTCCAGTAAGTTCTCAATCCTACTTTCAAGTATTTTATTATTGTTATTTGGAGGTTTCTATGTTTGTGACCTAGTAAATATAATTAATATTGCTTGCATGAGCACAGTTGGGAGGCTATGAACCATACTATGGACAAGTTAGCAATGGCTATAATATCAAATATAATGGCTCCTCATCCCCCAGAAACCAATCACCACCATGGATTTCTCAGATGCCTTGGTGCTTCATTTCCCTCTAACCACTCATCATGAAAAGTTTATTGGTCTCATCTTGTGCCATTTTTCTTCAGTTTGAAAATACAGCTATTGAGGGTTCTTTCGTGGAACAGCCGTATCACTTCCAGAAGATAGACAGTGTTTCCCACATTTATCCTACACCCAGCTTCCATTTTCTACTGTGGATCCATAGGTGGAACAGCCGTATCACTTCCAGAAGATAGACAGCATTTCACAGCATGTATCCTACACCCAGCCTTTATTTTCTTTCTACCCCCAGTTCTGCAATGATCCCTGAACCTTGGAACGGAACTGGAGATGTTCCATTTGGAGATGAGCCATCAACAAGCAGTTATTTTTAGTTCTTTGACCAGTTACACATCTACACATCTCTTCATTGTCATACACTGCAAAAAAAAAACCTTCCTTCATTCCTTCCCTCCTTTATTTATTTATCTATCTATTTGTCTGTTTGTCTATTAGAGGCAGGGTCTCTCTCTGTGTATCTCTGGCTGTCCTGGAACTCGCTCTGTAGACCAGGCTAGCCTTGAACTCTCAGAGATTTGCCTGCCTCTGCCTCCTGAGTACTTGAAATAAAGGTGTGCACCACCATTGCCCGGCTGAAAAGAAGGATGAGAGAAGCACTATTGTATGGATAGAAATGGAAATATTTAGGACAGATGTGGTTGGTTTATGCCTTTAATTCCAGCAGTCTGGAGGCAGAGGCAGGCACAGGTCTGTGAGTTTGCTGCCAGGCCTAGTCTACATAACAAGTTCCAGGCCAAACCATTCTAAATATAATCCATATATATTTAGAAACAATCTTGATCATGTTTATTCAGCAAGACAGCAGCAGAAATTTCCACCTTGCACACATGACTTTCCTAACCACGGAGTATTGGCCAGTATTCTAATACCAGGCATAGATTCCTTCCTGTGAAACAGGCTTCAAATACAACCAAGGTAGTTCATGCCCCAAGTAACTGTCATTCTGCTATTGCAACATCAGGGGAATATTTCCTAACATGCCAATAATGTCGATTACAGGGCTCACAGCTGCATAAAACCATCGATGACTTTTCTTTCTCCACTAGAATGAATCACTCCCTTTGGCATTAGGACAGGTGGCTAGCATGTCGGAAGCTTTCAGCTCACTGCCAGCTTGCTTCCTTGAGGTCTGGGACCAAAATATCAAAGTATTGAATGTCTTTAGCAGTAGAGGCTTAATTTCTAATTCTGGTGCATAACCGAAAGCAATAGCAATTGGGTGTATTTTTCGGGAAACCAATGGGGCTTCTTAGATCAGCAACTCATAGTGAGGTACCTGATATCTGGCACTAAGGTGTGTGTGGTGTGTGTGTACAAACAATTGCAGATACCTGTTGAGGACAGAGGCATCAGATTCCTCTGGAGCTGGAGTTGCAGGCATTTGCGAGCTTCCTAAGGCAGCTGCTGGGAACTGAACTGAGGTCTTCTACAAGAGATTTCTTATCCATTTTCCAGCTCCTGGAGCTTTTGTTTAATAGCTCATGACTTCTAGAAATAGCATTATTTGTATATATGCAGAGTATCTCTGTTCAAATACTTTCAAAAACTTGATTTTCAATTAGCTTATAAAATAGTAGTTTTCTATGTGGCTTTTTAAAAAACAATTTTATTTACTTATCTTACATTCTGGACACAGCTTCCCCTCCCTCCTCTCCTCCAAGTCCCCCCAATCCACCCTATGTTTCCACCCCCCAATCCCCTTCTCCTTCCTTTCTGTTTAGGAAAGGGCAGGTCTCCCATGTGTATCAACAAAACATGGCATATCGTGTTACAGTAAGACTAAGCACTTCCCCTTGTATTAAGGCTGGGGGGCAAGTTGACCCAGTATGAAGAGTAGTGTGCCACCACTGTCCGGCTCTACATGGCTTTTTAATGCAAATATAGTTGCGGCGAAGCCCGGCGATGGTGGCGCACGCCTTTAATCCCAGCACTCGGGAGGCAGAGGCAGGCGGATCTCTGTGAGTTCGAGACCAGCCAGGCTCCAAAGCCACAGAGAAACCCTGTCTCGAAAAAAAAAAAAAAATCTGCAATATAGTTGCGGCGAACTCCCTGACCAGCAGGAAAGAACAGCCACCAGACGAGGATTCTTCTCAAATCACGCTTTATTGGAGCCTCTTGGTTGAAGGGAGAGCAGAAAGCAAGGGGCCCCAAGCTCTGATTTGCAGCTGCTTATATAGGGAGTCTGCCTAGCAACCTTTGATACTTTGATACTTTAACTGCTTTTCTGGAGACCCACCGGCTGGAAAGAAAGCAGGGGAACATCCCTGTCAATTACAGACCACAAGGAAGTTCTCCTGCTGGTCAGGGGAAGTGTGGGCAGCTAGATCACAACAACTCATCCTGTTTTCTGGTGGAAGAACTGCAACCTTATCAAGCGAGGCCATGACCAAATGCCATATTGTAATGGCAGCCACTCAAATCGGCTCCCAGCATATAGTATTGGCTAGCCATCCCTTACCCTCTCTTCCCTAACCCCTTCTAAGCCCCACTCTAATTGTTGAATCTTCAATGTTCTCCCTCATACTTCATTTAAGCCCTCTTCTCTCCCCACCCATAATGGCCTTTCTCCAGCATCCTTGCCTTTAGAGACACTCGAATTTAAATAAACAAAAAAGCTAAGGTCTACATATGAGAGAGGGCATATAGTTTTCTTTCTTTCTAGGCCTGGGTTACCTTACTCAGTATATTTTTTCAATTACATCCACTGTCCTGCAAATTAAATACTTACTTGAATAAAATCTCTCTAAAATCTCTCTCTCTCTCTTTCTCTGAGAGAGAGAGCCTAATTTCATTATTAATCTAACTATTGATGAACATCTAGTCTGATTTCATTTAACATTTGTGACTATAGCCACAGTGAACACGGATGTGCAAGTTCAGCATAAGCAAAAAAGACTTCCCCAAGATGAAGTCGATCCAGTCTGGCGGAGAGGGTGTACAGGAAGGGTGTTTTATAGCACGTGGCCCTGGTCCCTGTGCACGTCAGAAAAACAAATCCTTTTGGTAGGAAACCTACATCTGTTAGAAAAAATCATAAGACTACCCTTTCCACCCATGCAAAATAACTTCAATTAGACCAGATTACACCAAATCAAAGATTACCACATTTAATGACTGCAACGCTCCTGGGTTGTGGGGAACATGGCGGGGAGGGGGAAAGGGAGTGGGGAGACAGGGAGAGACCGTGCACAACCTGGGACCATAAGTTAACTAGCCTGTGAGAGTGGTCCTGACCCTTCCTGGAGAGGGTCAGCACTTGGCAGTCTTCCCTGAGGTGGAGTCCGAACCAGGGCAACTCCCAGGGGGAAGGGGCTTAGGATGGATGCCAGGGACTGGGATGATGCTTCCGATCTTTCCAGACTCCTTGGATATAGGGGTGCTAGAGAGCTGGGGTCTCACTTTTGACCAAATTTCCCACAACAGCCATCTGTAATTTGTTCATCAATGAGGAAGTTTAAAAACAAAGGGAATGCCTGTTCCTGATCACTGCTTAACTGGCTACTGATTAACACTTAACTATCAGGTATAGGCAAGAGGCCTTCAGCAATTGTCATGCATCTCTAGAAACACATACGTTTACAAAAAACAAACAAACAAACAAAACACTCCTGAAACCAAGATTGTTTGGCAATGTTGATGTTTATTTTTCAAATGTGATCTTCATTTTGTGGTCTTTTTGTCAAACTCCTTCTCCTGTTGGATATAGGGAAAGAAAAATAGAAAAAGAAATATTAAAAGGGATTTTCCTCTTTCTTTTCTTTCTTTCTTTTTTTTGATTTTCTTAATATTATGTTAGGTTTCTTCTCAAAAATAGCTTTACTAAGTCACTGAAGGCTGATAAACATGCCTTTGAATGCAAAAGCCCTAACCACTTATCTTCATAGTGGAGGTGTGTATGTGTTAGAGCACTTGAAGACTTTACAATAATCTATATATTCTTATATATTAAGTTTATATTTAAGTAATAGATTTAAAATATTGATAAAATATTGTTATTGTCCACAGAGTGTTCTAGGAATGAGAAGAAAGTAAGAATTTTCTTCGGTTTATCTGTATACAATTAGGAAGTTTCATCTTTTCAGATGATTTTTTGAATTCTTGAGTTCTCAATTAGAGCTGACAAGATGAAAATGCCACTCAGCTTTTAAAATTCACTTTGAGTTTCTCCAGGAGGTTGTTATTCTGAAGAGCAAATTGATCCTTTAAATCTGGGAAGCTGGAACACACACACAAACTCTAAACTTAGTCTTCCACCTTATTTTATAGCTATTTCTAGAAGATTAAAACTATAGTTTGCACAGTTTTTGTGTGTTAAAGCATAGATTCAAACTGTTGCATCCTGAAAAATGTGTAACATTCACATTAAAATAAAACCTGGGCAAAATCGAGATTTATATAGTACCGCATCCCATATTCCAAAATTAGCTTTAATATAATTTTAGTAATTTTGTAAGAAGAAATGAGTCTATGATACCATTATTACTGTAACCTAGCATACAAACCATGTACATTATCTAAATAAAAAGATAATTACTTGATATTTTAATTGCTGCATTAATTATCATAATTCTTACTACTACTTAGGTTTTTGCAATTTTAATACAGCATAGGTTTGTTAAGTGACTATGCCAACTTTCACCACTGTTCCTCTCAACTAGAAACTTCCATGACTTACTTTCCTTCAATGGAAGCATATTTTTTTCTGCGGTAGTAATTTTTTTCAGTTTTGATTTGTCAAATTTTTCAACTTCCGACATGTCCAGTTTGTCAGCCATCTTGACTAAAAGAACAACAACAACAACAAAACGTTACCTGCTAGAACTATGATCAGATTAGGAATAACAATTAAAATTCATAAAAATTCAAAATATCAATGAATACTTTGCACTGTGATTTTCAACAAGGAAACAGTCAGTCTTAGAAAGTCATGTTTTCTTAGTGTACTCTGATTGCAAAGCTTTAGTCCATTTCTGGTGGCAGCAAATGACAGCAGATGAAGATGCTCCAGAAACTGAGATACTCTAGAAACCCAGGGGAAAATAAAAGCCTGACTTTTAAAATCCCAGTAAAGGTAAAATGAGACTATGAGCATCTTCACTTTCCAGTCAGCTACTTTTAGGGGATTTGGGAATGATGGTGAGCATCACACACTAAAAGAGAGGCACATATCACTGTACTAATTTCTATTGAATGTCCAAAGTCAGTATATTAGAACACTGCAATAAGACAGGGAAGGGATTAACCTAGTCATTGCCAATTACAAATTTCATAATACCTTCTTGTAACCTTAGAGAGTATATAAAAGAAAAAAGAAAACTCGCTATTTATGATCAAGACTCAAAAGCTTTATTAGAAGGAGAAATGCCAAATACAGCTGAGTCCTAGTTCCAATGATAAGAAGACAGAGCTCTTCAGCCAGGACCTGGTTCTATTTTAGCAGGGCTAGGACACAATCTAGTAACCAGGGTAGACAGAGAGCCCTCCACCCCACCCCACCTCCAGCTTCCACCTCTCAAACTCTTTTAGTCAAGCATATCCTAAGACCCTCCTTTACCAGGTGAACATCACCAATCTCAAAGCTGGGAAAATTGGAATTCACACATTTATAACCGCAGTGCAGGCCAGGGTCATTTGTCTGAATTGTGCCATTTACAAATAACTTGTCACTGTCCAGTGCCCAGTTTAAGGGACAAAAGGATGAGAATTAAACCTAAAGGATTGTGCCCTATTGCTCTGTGCCTGCCTCAACTCTACTCCTGGCCTTTGCCCTTCCATCAAGTTGCCTGTCCCCTTGGGCTTTCTAAGGTGGGACCCCCAGAATCCCGCTCCAGACAGCAACATGGGGAAACAAAGCCACTGTGAAGTGGACTTCGAAATGGGATTCCCTCAGCCACAAAGTACTACCACCTGAATGTCGGCAGGCCCCATCTTGCCTGGTCCTCCAGGGCACCAGGTTCTCACATGTGTGGTACAAGATGTCTGGTAGATCAATGGCTGAGTGCCCTACTAGAGAGTGGCTCTCACTGGTGTGGCCTAGCAGAGCCCTGAGTTCATAAACTCCACAGGACGCCCGCCTCTTGCCCCGCCCATCCCCCTGTGACTTCAGACCCTGTGTTATGCAAGGCTTTTCTGATTGGTCAACATCCCTGGCTTGCTGTGCCCTCTTTCCAGCTTATAATTTTGTGAGTGTCAGAGTTTGTTCAATTTTAAGACCTCTGTGCTTAAAAATGTAGGTATTTAGACTGTATTTGATAGTGGGGACAAAGTCTTTATGACAGTATCCACCTCCTTGTATAACAGTTGGAAATCATTGCCATCTAAAAAGACAAATATTTTAGCCAGACAGAGTGCTACAGTCCTTTATTCCCAGCACACAGAGGCAGAGGCAGGTGAATCTCTGTGAGAAGTCAGCCTGGTCTACATAGTGAGTTCCAGGACAGCCAGATCTGCATAATGAGATCCTGTCTCAAAAAAAAAAAAAAAAGACAAACATTTTCTACTGTGTGGGAATTGAGATGAGAGAGGAGTCATTGGGCTAGTAATATTTTCTCACAACATTTAATCAATGAAATTTACTATTAACAATTTTGTAACAGGAAGAGCAGCCTCACAGCTATCTTACACCCGAAATAATCACACAGAAACTGTATTCATTTAAACTCTGAGTGGCCCATTAGCTCTAATTTTTTATTGGCTAATTCTTGCATCTTTATTTAACCCATTTTTGTTCATCTGTGTATCGCGTGACTGTGGCTTACTGGCAATATTCTAACCAGCGTCCATCTTAGGCAGGAGATCCATGGCATCTGCCACTCTGCCCTTCTTCCCAGCATTCAGCTCTGTCTACTCTGCCTACCTAAGTCCTGTCCTATCAACTAGGCCCAGTCAGTTTTTTTATTCATTATCCAATGAAAGCTACACACAAAGAGAAGGAATTCCTACACCACAAATTTATTTTTTAGAAGCTTAATTCAGGGAGGACTGCCCCAGGGTGATCAAAACTTTCTAATAATAAACATGCATCATACTTGACTCTGCTAAATCTTCTTTTACAAAATCAATTCAAAGAAATCCCTTTCTTATTTTTTAACTAGGCTATCCTCCAGAAAATTATGTTTGACATTTTATTCCACGAATAGTCACTTGACTGCAGACAAAGAAATCCTGTGTCAAAAAAACAAAATATATAAATAAATAAATAAAAGTTTTAACAAAAAAAACACTGGTCTCACTTAAAATAAACCAGAGGCTACATGGGTTACTATATTCAGTTATAATATTTCTTAATATATAAGAAATTTTATTAGGCATATTTTTATTGATTTTTATGGGCATAGATTAGTGTTACAGTTTTCCTCTAACCCCAATGTTTCTGGCTTCGCAAACCTTGTTATAATAGCGACTTAAGAAACACAGGGTTTGGTGCTGAAGAATTGGCTTAGTGGTTAAAAGCTCATCTTCTCTTGTAGAGGACCCAAATTTGATTCTTAACAACCAAAACTCATAGCTTACAACCACTTGTTACTCTAGCTGCAAGGATCTGATACCAATTTCTGAACTTTGGTAAAATTTGCACTCATACACACACAGAAACACACAGAGAGACGGGGGCAGGGAAGAGAGGGAAGAGGGAAGGTAGGAGGGAAAGAGAAAGAATTATAAATAAAATTAAGCCCAAAAAAGAAATAACATGTTTTAATATTGAGTTGAGGAGATGGTTCTTTGGCTAAAGGACTTGTTGCCCAAGAATGAGGACCTGAATTTTAAATTTTGGATTGTTGGTTTTTTTTAAATTATCTGTTTTCAAAGTAGAGAGAGAAGGAAGGCTTGGAGTCAGATGGGTGGAGAGGCAGAGAAGATTTGGGAAGAGATGGAGGTCGGAAAGAAATATGATCAGAATATACTGTATAAATTTTCAATGACAAGAAAATAAAAAATTCCAAAAGAAATGAAAGGTGAATTCAATAAATCAGAAATATTTGTTTATGTTTGATAAAGAATTTCCACCTAAAATATATTATAAATTCTTAAAATTTGAGAATGAGAAATCCTGTAAAACTTTTTAGACCTGAACCACCTTGAAATAATTCAGTACATGCATTTATATTTTATATATGCATTTATATTTTATATATGCGTGGGTGGCGGTTGGAAGACAACTATCAGAAGTCAGATTTCTCTTTCCACTGGGGCTGGGGATTCAACTCCAGGAGGTCAGCTTTGGTGGAAGCATACTTTACCTGCTATCTTTGGTAATTTTCCATTGATGTGCTAAAATATCACAACCAAAAGCAACTTGGAGAGGAAAGAGTTTATTTCAGCTTGCAACTCTGAGGTCAAACTCCCATCAGTGAGGGAGGTCAGGAGAGGACCACAAGGCAGGAACTTGGAGGCAGGATCTGCCTCCTGGCTGCCTGCTGGATTACACTCGCATGGCTTGCTCAACCTGCTTTCTCAGAGCACCCAGGATCACCAGCTCAGGGTGGCCCCATCCACAGTGAGCACAGACCTTCACATCAATCATCAATCAAGAAAATGTAGGCCGGGTGTAGTCCTGCATGCTTTTAATCCTAGCACTTGGGAGGCAAAAACAAGTGGATCTGAGTTCAATGTCAGCTGTGTCTATATAGGGAGTTCCAGGCCCGACAGGACTACAAAGTGAGACAGGAGGGACAGGAGCTTAACACGATCATTGTAGTCTATATAGTGAGTTCAAGAACAGCTGGGATTACATGAGACTGTCTCGAATAAGAAGACCGTCCCACTGAAGCAGATTGGTGGTTACTATAGTATCTAGAAATTGAAATAAAGAAGTGACTGCTGAAAGATAAGGAGTTATGTTTGTTCTTCATTTTCTCTTTAAGATGTGGGAAATGTTCTGGACTTTGATAATTATGACAGTTGTATAATATTTTGAATATATAGAAAACCATTGAATTGTGCACCATAAAGAGGTAAATTATAGGATATGACTAATATCTCAATTTAAAAACAATAGGAAATTTTGTAATTTTTAATTTCCACTTGTTATTTTCTTGGGCTTTTTTAAAGGTTCCCAATTAGGAATGTCCCAATTTCTGCTTTGACTTCTGGGCATAAGTGATGACAAACATTGTGGGTTCTATCAGGTTTTTTTTTTCTTCACCATGACAATAGTGCTAAGTCTGGCACACATGTCCCAGTATGAGTAGCACAGGTTAAGTGGTGGCACTTTGTGGTCACTGCTTCTGTCTAGCGGCAGTAAGAGAGGTTACCTGTCCTTCTTGCACTCCAGATACCTTGAGGATGAGCTGGGCTGCATTGGAGAGCATGAGGTCCTTGATACATTTCAGGTGAGGCCTGGGAATCAAGGAGGGGAAAGATAAACATCCCTGAGCCTTCAGCAAGTTGGAGTCCCAGTGCCTGGGGCTGCACCTCAGAGTACCAGGCTCTTCTAATATCCCAACTCTCTTCCTCCAGACCGAGGATGAATTGGAGGCTTGCAAGAAGCGTGCATGTGGCAATCAGGGCCTCAAAGGGGCTGCCACCAGGCTAGTGAATCTGCAGAGAAGGGAAAAGTGGTGAGAGGGCACACAGTTTACTTCTCTCTGTGCCTTTGCGTGTTTTATGACTTGCACATGAGGGGGTGCCGAGGGGATCATTTCACAGCTCCCCATGTGTGCTTTCATCTGTACTCCTGTCCCTTCCTCTTCTGGAAGTTGCCTTGCAATGAGTGTCATGACCTTCAGTCCCTGCTGGGGATCAGCAGAGTCAGGCTGCCTGGGGAAGCATTGCT